CTTTTTAAAGATGAGTATGTGTTTTGTTCAGTGTTCAACAGTCTTCCTTGAACTTTCTTTATGGATATGGAAGGAGAGAGCAAAAGAGAAATATATAATTAATTACACACACATACACACACATACATATATATGTACATATATCTATATTTAATTGGTGTACCCAATATTGTGTAATTTGAAATTGTAGGTAGTTTTGTCTTTATAATACACAAGAGGTTTGTCTGCACCTATACAGAACATGGTGAACCCTCAGAACAAAGGAAAGTGAAACCAGCTAACACTTATAAGTCCTCTGGATCCAGCTATTACTAAACTCAGATCTACCTATGGTCTTTCCAGTTAACTTTTTATTTTGCTTATGCTAATTGTAAGTTGTTCTTTTCTCACTGGAAGAAGATGATGATGATGATGATGATGATGATGATGATGATGATGATGATTTGTACTAGGGATTGAACCCAGAGGTGCTTAATTGCTGAATCATAACCTCAGTCTTTTCAAAAATTTTTATTTTAGGACAGGGTCTCACTGAGTTGCTTAGGGACTCACTAAGTTGCCGAGTCTGGCCTTGACATTGAAATCCTCCTGTCTCAGTCTCCCAAGCCACTGGGATTACAGGCTTATGCCATTACGCCAGGCAATTGGAAGAATTTTGATTAATACAAACAAGTAGTTTTATTTCTCAGTCTCTTTGCTTAACATACTCCATTGAAAGTAGTTTATATTAGCAAGTAAATTATTTTCTCTATGTATTCAAGTAGCAAAATCTTACTGAATGTTTTGTTTTTGTATGGACTTTTAGTGAAACAAATGGATCTGAACCTTTTATGTCCAAAAGAAACCATATTCACACAATTAGTACTTCAAATATTTATCTTCCATGCTTTGAATAGCTTTTGTTGCCCTAGGATGTGGCATGAACAATATTATTAAGCACCATATGTGTGTGTACTGTGGCAGAGTTAGTAGATGGTCTCTTTCCTCATGGAGCTCATAGTGTATCAGAGAAGATAAGGAATCCATACACAAGCCAGCAAAATAGAACAGTACCAGTATCCAGTCAATAATTCATGCTGGACTCAGAAGGATGTTTGGAATACTAAAAGATAAGAGGAGGTGGGGAAGAGGATTGGGAAATTCCAATGGTGACATGGCATGAACAAAAGTAGAGAAATGGAAAGTAAAATGCAAATGCATAATTTAGAGGTCAATGATTCATCATCCATTTGGCTTGGGAGGTGATTCCTGTAGGGAAGAGATGGAGCCTAAAACTGAACAGTTAAACTGTGGTCATATTTTAAGAAATATCAGGCTATGGAGATTTTGGCTTAAGGGCAAGGAGAGTGGCTAAAGCATTTGGGTGGATGGGAATTTCAGTGGGGTTGAGGTAATATTTAGGTGTCTTAGGTCACGGGTCTATAGTCCTCTGCCCTAGGGACTTTTTAGGGTAGAAGATACAGGAGGGGGTCTTGCCAGGAGCTATTGAGACACTTGAGGCATGAAGTAGTAGTGAGTGCTCAGATGTGTTTAATGCCAAGAAAGGACAAGGAGAACACATGAGAGGAGGCAAATTGGGAAGAATGAAACAGACTGGATGAATGAGATGAGGCAATGAATTTTGAGCTATAGTACAAGGTAGAATTTGGGGAGAGAAGGGAAGAATTAGGAAATTTATAAATTCTGTCCAGATAGACACTGATGCAATTGTGTATTTACTTTATTGTCATTTGGTTAATGTATTTCCTCATTATAGAATAGATGCTCCTTTAATTAGAGGACCATTTCAGTATTTTCAGTTGTTTCTTATCTATTATTAAACACAGTGCCTGGTCCATAATAGGTTTCAATAAATATTTGCCAAATGAATGAACATTTTGCATGATTTATAAACTTCAATTCGGTATACACATTAAATTAGCAACATTTATTTGAGTTGAAAATAGTATATAAGTTTGGAGCATATTGGAGTATTGAAGCAATTCTCCAAGAAATGTTATAGAGCTAGTATTTTTTCTAATCTCATTGAAGTATGATTGACAAAATTTTATTTATTTAGGTTTAGGTTATGTTGTGATGTTTATATATATATATATATATATATATATATATATATATATATAAAATGTTTGTCATATATAATTTAATATATGTAATCATTGAAAAATGATTGTCATAATCAATCCATGTCACATATCCATTCCCTTTGTTTTTTTGATGTAGTGAAAACATTCACAATCTACTCTTCTAGCAATTTGAAGTACACAAAACATTGTCATTAACTATAGTCACCATGCTTTGGCAGCAGCTCTCCAGAACTTATTCATCCTATCACTGAAAACTAGTGCCCTTTGACCATTATCTTCTCATTTCCCCCATCCTGGTCCCTGGTAACCATCCTTCTACTCTATTTCAAGAAATTTAGCTTTTTAAGATTCTACATGTGAGATTGTACAGTATTTACCTTTCTGTGCTTGGCTTATTTCACTTAGCATAATGTCCTCAAGCTTTATCCATATTGTTGCAAGTAAAAGAATTTCTTTTTTTTAAGGCTATATAATAGTATGCATGCGCACGCACACACACACACACACACACACACACTACAATTTCTTTATCTGTTGACAGACACTTATGTTGTTTCAATATCTTGCCTATTGTGAATACTGCTGAATACTGTCCAGAAATCTTTTTGAGATACTGATTTCATTTCCTTTGGAAATATGCCCAGAAGTATAATTGCTGGATGATATGGCAGCTCTATTTTTAATTTTTTTGAGTTACTTCCATACTGTTTTCAATAATGGCTGTACCAATTTATATTACCACAAGCAGTGTGCAAGGATTCCCTTTTCTCCACATTCTTGTGAACACTTGATTTCTTTTGTCTTTTTGGTAATATTCATTTTTACTGGACTGGATGATATCATCTCATTGTGGTTATCATTTGCATTTTCTTCATGACTAGCAATGCTGAGCATCTTTTCATACACTCATTGACCATTGGGTTTCTTTTTGAAGAAATATCTATTCAGGTACTTTGTCCATTTTCTAATTGGATTATTAGCATTATTAATGTTGAGTTATATTAGATAGTTATATGTTTTGAATATTAGCTACTTATTAGATATGTAATTTACAAATATTTTCTCCTATTCTGTCAGTTCACTTTTCATTTTGATGATTGTACCCTGTGCAGAAACTTTTAATTTGATATAGTCCCACTTCTTTAGTTTAGCTTTTGTTGTTTTAGGTGTCAAAAAAAAAAAAAACAATTGCTGAAACAAATGTTAAGAAATTTCTCTCTTATTTTCTTTTAAGAGTTTATGGTTTTACATCTTATTTGTAAGTATTTAGTTCATTTTGAGTTGATTTTTTGTATATACAGTAAGAATGAACTTTTTTCTGTTTGTGTGTGGACATCCAGTTTTCCCTACAACTTTTATTGAAGAGTATATAATTTCCTCAGTGTGTATTCTCATTTCTAAACAAAGAAGAAAATAATATCTTCGGGAAAATGTTTCTGAAGTACTCAGTGTTAGAAAAACATAAAATTCAAAATATTTATGAAGTCAACCACAAGATTATAATTTGCTTTCTGCTCTGCTGAATCCTATGTCAAGGAATTCTTGCTCTATAAAATTATTGTGCAATTTTCAATTTTTGCCACACTATGTTACTGGAAATTATCCTTAATTTCTGCTTGAACATCTTAAATTTTGGAGTCACTCCTAAATTCAAATGCCAGCTGTGTTTCTAACTAGGTATATGATTTTAGGCAAGTCACTATCCCACTGATCTTCAGTTTTGTCTCTGAAATGGGAAAAATAGTGTGTACCTGCCCTCTTCATTGTATTGGTATGAAGATTAGTAAGATATTGTATTGTAGTTTCTGGCATGGTGCCTGGCACATGGAAGGTAGTCAGTATATATTTTTTTATTATTACTTGTGCTATTACTTCTACAATTATTAACTTCATGCATAAACTTTTCATAGGAGGGACTACATCTTATGCATCTCAGACCTAATGTTCAACTTACTGTAAACCCAACCCTTAGCACAAAGATGTTTGCAGAATTGAACTAAGATCTTCCTATTGAGGATTGCAAATGATAAAAATTAAAATCTATGGAAGAAAGGAGTTCAGTGTGTGTAATTATTTAGTCATGCACTTTAAATTCAGGTTAAACACACATGAAGGTCAAAGGATACTTTCTAAATATTACCTATACAGAGAGGTGGATTTAACTATAAATAGAGGCACTGGCTGGGCTGGGGATGTGGCTCAAGCGGTAGTGCCCTCGCCTGGTGTGCGTGCGGCCCGGGTTCGATCCTCAGCACCACATAGCACCACATACAAACAAAGATGTTGTGTCCGCCGAAAACTAAAAAATAAATATTAAAAATAAATAAATAAATAGAGGCACTGGCAAACATATTCTAGGAAAATAATGATGAGATTATGCAATCAAAAGGAGATCTTTACTATTACTTTGTTAAAAGCTGACTACATATATTCAACTCTGTGAGTCCTTTTTAAACATCCCTGTAATAGGAAAACTGAGTTGCTATTATGAATCTGTGCATAACAAATAATGCATAACATTACTTAGCTTATGTAATGACAAAAATGTGTGGAATAATTGGCTATGTTATAATAAGATCCTTTTCTGCTACATCATGTAGATGTGTTATATCAGAAGGTCAGTGTCATTGGTATTTCTATTGGGGAGCTTTCATTTAAAATAACACATATATTACAGAAATGATTTTTTCAATAATGACATAAAAAGTAAAATTGTTATGCATTATAGGAATAATTAAACATTTTTGTACCAATTGCTGTACTTTAGGCTGAATAATGCTAGTCATTTTGGTACTCTGCTGAAGTCCCCTTTTTTGAGCCTACACTGAACCTGTAATACTTATGGAAAGAGTAACCATAGCAACCTATATTGATGTCACAAGCTCAGGCTTCTGACTTCATTGCATAATGCAGTAGCAACTGGATTTGCAGCAGAAACACCCTGCTAAAGAACAAGTATCTTGATACACAGCAAAAAGGACAAAGAAAAACAGCAAGTTGTAGGGGGTTGAATCCTGGATTGTGAGTCAGATTGCCTGAGTTCTTATTTTAACCCTGCCTCTCACTTGTTGCCTTGTTTTTGAGTAATCGTGTTTACATGTGTGCACTGAGATTTAAAGCAAAAAATCTCCTGTGTCTGCGATGAACATAGCAGAGAAAAACCCAGAATATCTAATGCCTTGCATTTAGTAGAAAGCTCAATAAAGCTAAAACATCCTAAAAATAACTTGGAAAGGAAGAAATTCTAGTGCCTTGTAATAGGTAAATAGCTAGCTCATAAAGATAAAGAGGACACTTTGAAATAAACAGCATATAGCTAGGTTTTCTATTTTTATTTTTTTGAAATAATAATGGGTAAAGGACAAGATTGATGTCTCTGTCTTAATTTTAGCAAGAGTACAGAAAACTCATGAATATGTTACTATATTAATATAGTTATATTTATTTAAAGATTTTTTATATACTTAGAGTAAATTAAAATATTAATCTGAATCTATTAATGGGTATGGTGCTTATGTTCATATTGTATGTATTAAATAATAAATGTTTCTTAATTTACCATATAAATATTAATGCTTATTAGAAAATATCTGAATGAGTGAAATGAAATTTCATGGAAGATGAAATTCTTTAAAAATACTAGTGATATCTTATTTTTAAAAGAAAAACCTGACCTTTCCATTAAATTCTATAATCTATTCATTATTTCCACTGGTCTAGTTTTTTACTATAAATTTTAGAATTGAGATACAAATATTTTGGAATTTGAAAATACATTTAAACTCATTGACTTCCTTACCAAAAACTAAGGTGAAAACATGATATAGTTACTAATTTTCACTTTATCCAAAGCAACAAGGTTGAACATTTTAATAGAGAACCCTTTCTACTCCTTCTTTCCACGTGTTCAATCATTTCAAAATATCAGCAAAAAATTTACCATGCCATAAAACTTCATTAGCTCAATTCTATGTTGAATAAACCTCATAAAGATATAATTTGTCAAGTCTCAGGAAAAATTTGTTACTATTGAAAAATGTAGCATGAGGTACAAGTTGTGAGAATGTTTTTTGAACAAGCACTTAAAGAATGCAACTTAATTCCATATTATAATGCAGCACATGCATCTTTATGTGTCTTAAAATCCTTGTAAAAATCTTTCAAAAATGGAATTTTCATATAGTGTTTTGTAGAATATTAAGAGTGCAAATTAATTCTTTCATTATAGCTATCAAGCCTATATAATCATCAAATTTTATTTTCATTTTCTTTTTTTTTTTGATAGAGTTGGGGATTGAGGCCACAGCCTCACATATGCTAGGCAAGCACTCCAGTACTGGACTATACCACTAGCCTGTGATTTTTTTTTTTTTAATACTGGCAAAAACTTACTTGTGTGCTTGTGTGAGTTTAATTCAACAAGTTTTTATTGACTATAGTAACACGAAAACGTCCTAATATATGTAGCAAAATTTTGCAAAAAATCAGGTAGTTTTCTCCATTTTTAAAGAAACAATCTTAAGCCAAGAGAGCAATATTGGTTACTCTCTGAACTCTACTTGGTCCTTGTGCTAAATTCCACCATTTCCTAAACATAGCCCTTGAAATACTGGAGACTCAACACCCACTGCAAAAATCATCAATTATCAAGAACTCATAATTGTAGAAGGAGATTCAAGGTTGTTTTTTTTTTTTTAAATCAAACTGGTCTGATATATTTTAATCTGTTTTGCAAAGTTAATTGGGAAAATAATTTAAACCTCAACCCTGTACTTGTTCTATCACATCAGATTGTCTTCACACTGCTTCATGACTTCCACCCAGAGTCACTTCTCTGCCTAATGCCAACAATTCTGCACTATCCATCCCTCAAGATCTATCTGTTCTTTTGGCAAAATTTGTGACTATAAATTCAATTTGGCTACTGATGGATATTCAGTCAAATTCATTCGATATTACAAAATGTCTATAAATGCAGAAGTTTGTAGTATATAAAAGGTAGTATTTTTAGAAAACTTTGCTGGGATGACATTAGTTTAAAAAGTAAAACAACTAGAAAACAAAATCAAGTATATGGTATTGCAGTCAAAACAATGCCTAAGAACTGAGGGGATTCCAGGAAAAGAGATAATCAGAAGCAAAGAGGCCACAGACTTAGACTTAGTACAAGAATATTTCTTAGCAGAAGTAGCTAAGGTGTTTGTCCTTCATAGACTTTGTCCCATGTTTTCTTTCTTGCTGTCTGTCTTGCTTTCATTCTCTTCCGGTTGCACATAAATCTTGTTTATTGCTGAAATACTAAGTAGAATAGTTGAGCAAAAGTAAAATAAAAGGATAATCCTATGATCAAAAAAAGTATCTATAGCATCTTTTGCAGATTCTTTTTCAAACATTTTAAACTTATATGTAGGTTTAAATATTATCCTTAAAAAAATGGAAGCGCATTCTGCATATGGCTTTATAACTTTTATTCTTATGTGACAGTTTTTATTCTTTTTATTCTTATGCAACAATGTTGTGTGACTATTTTTCTGTGTTTATAATTTGAGACTTATCTGAATTTAAGTTACATAAAATTCTATTGTTTGGGTATACTATAATTTATTTAATCTTTATGCTATTCTTAGATCTTAGTCAATTCCCAATTTCTTGCTAGTATAATATATATAAATTAGAATATACACATAATTAAGCGTATATATGCAAACATATCTGTGCTCTTAACATTCTTATTATACAATCTTGAACACTGTACAAAGTTTTATTTAATTGAAATTTTTTTTTGTTCAAATTCATTGAGGCAAAATATACATATGCTGTCATTTTCTGATTGTAAAACCCTAGAAGTGGAATTGCTGTGTTAAAGGGTATAACTTGTTGACAAATTGATTCTAAGAAATACATCAGTTGAAAATATTATTAGAATGAGACTTATTTCCCCACTTTCATACTATTGCTGAGTATAATTTTTAATCACAGCAAACTGTTAAAAAAAACAATAGTACTTTTAAAACTTTCGTTTTTATTTGGGATCTTGTGTTAGTAAATTTTCATGTGTGAGTTTCATTCAATTCAATGTAGAGTTCTTATTTTAATTGATCATACATGTCCTTCAATTAGTTACCAATTGAGTGTTGGTCTGTTTCTTAGGGATTTATATAAATTTATAATTTATATAAATTATAGCCTTTATATTAAGGTTATAATTGACACATATCACATTAACTTGTGTTATAATTAGCTATCTGTCTTTTATATCTGGTTTTCATTTGTTTCTTTTTTTCATGTTTTTATGTACATAGTATGTTTTTGCTTCAGATTTTGGTGTCATAACTCCAAAGATCATATAAATATTTGCCTACTTTTCCTAATATTGATTTTCTTTTCATTTTATTGGTTTTTTTTCTTTCTAGAGTTTGTATTGACTTAACAAGTTTAATTTCATTTAAATTTTTTCCCAAGTATCTTATTTTTCTTCTTGTCATAAATTTGAATGTGGTTTTAACAATTCTGCTCCATGATCTAATGTCAGTATCTTACTGTTTTATTTACTAATTATGTTAAGCTTTTGGTATAATACTTACAATAATTTCATAAAATGAATTAGAAAATATTTGCTTTCTTTTTAATGAGTATGCATAAAGGGGTATTGTACAGTAATTCTTTTCTTTTACTTGCCTTTTTCTTTAAGTGTTTTATTTTTGTTGCATCTTCATGAGTTTATTTTTAACTACTGTGTAATATTTGTTTCATTGAACGTATAATACTTTGTTATCTGGCATTTGGATTAGTCTGGTTTTTTCAAATGCTTTATATTCATCTAATTAGATGATTTTTTTGAGAGAGAGAGAGAGAAGAGAGAGAGAGAGAATTTTTTTAATATTTATTTTTCAGATTTCAGTGGACACAACATCATTATTTTATTTTTATGTGCTGCTGAGGATCGAACCCAGCGCCCCACGCATGCCAGGCGAGCACGTTACCTATTGAGCCACATCCCCAGCCCACGAGGTGATTTTAATTATTTATTTTTTCTTAAGAGCTGAATGCAATTCATTGATAGATATTCTAATGATAAACCACTTGCATTATTGCATAAATTCAACATAGTCATGATAGTATCATTTTCTGCACTGCTAGGTTAATCTTAATGGTATTTTGTTTAGGATTTTTCCACCTATAGTCTTCTCAGAGAGTTTTCTTTCTCATATTTACCTAATATTTGATGTTAATATCATACTTTCCTTAAGAAATGAATTTGGGACATTCCTTAATTTTTTTTTTTTTTTTGCTGGAAAGGAAATTTTATCTTTTATATACTTAATCATTACTGGTAAAATTGCCTGTTAAAACTGTGGGCTTTTCTTGTTGTTTGGGAGAGGTGTGACTCCTTGAGTTTTATGGTAGACTTGTGTTCTTGGTCTTATTTGTTTTGAAGAGGAATGGAAAAATATTTAAATTACTGATTTGAATTTACTTATAGTCCTACTCATGTTTTCTATTTTTTTCAACCCATTTCATTCCTTTTTCCCCATAAATACTAAAATTGAACAATTAAGTATATCACTTATGGTAACTTTGAAATTATTTTGTTTTTGAGGTCTGTTCATTTAGAAAAGATAAAAACATTTGAAAAAATATGTAAATATATGGAAAGAACATATAAGATCTAAATTATGATTTTCCAACCTATTTTAATTTATCTACTCCAATTTCATTGAAATACAGAATTGAAAACTTGGGACTTACTGAGTTAATCAGTCCTATTTGGTATGTTTTATTTTTTTCCAGAAATTTATTTATTTTCAAGTGTTTATTAATTTTCTGTATTAAAAATCTGAGCTATAGTCTTTTTAAAAAATGTTTTGTTTATTTTTAAAAATCAGTATCACTAGAGATGGTACACACATTTTATCAGTCTTCAGTGTACCAACTTCTGGCTTTGTTAACTGTTCTTTTTATCTTTTCCTGTCTAATAGAGTACCCTCAATATTTAGTGGCCTAAAATAACCACCATTTCATTACATCTCATGATTCTGTGGGCCAGAAAATTAGGCAGAGTTCACCTGGGTTTTCTTTATCTCTTTTTGGAATTTACTGGATTTCAGTGTTGATATTCAGCTGTTGGCTACTCTGATTTTGAAGAAACCAAAGATCAGGCTTTACTCATATGCCTGGTGTTTTATTAGGATGCTACAGAGTTAGTCTTAGCTGGGTTTCTTCTTTTGTCCCTGTACCACAGGACCTCTTCCTATGTCCTCTCCTGCAGAGTACCAGTCAGACTTCTTTCATTGCAACCAAGACTCTAAAATGTTTCAAAAGATGGAAAGTTAAGTTGCAAGTCCTCTTAATGGCTAGACACAGAACTGGCTGGGCATCACTTTTGTCATAACCTTGGTCTAAGGAGTCACAGAGAAAAGATTCAGGGGAGGGTAAATATATGCCTTCTCACTGGAATGAACGTTAAAGAAATGGTGCCATTTTCATTCTATTACAGTGATCCCATTGCTTTTTAGCTTTCTATTTCAACAATCTGTTCTTTATTTCTTCCTTCCATTTTCTTTGTTTATAATCTGTTGAGTTTCCTCTACACTCTAACTTCTTAAATTGGATGCCTATATAATTTTCACTATTTCTTCTTCTAATAAAAGTACAAAAGTCTTCAATTTTTGTCACTATTGTTTTTACTGCCTTTCAAGTTTTAACAACATTCGTAATGTGCTCCCCATTCAGTTACAAGTAATTCTAATGATCTATTGTCATTTCCCCTATGACTTGTGATTTATTTAGGCACAATTTTAAAATTCTAATCATGTAGATTATTAACAATGTATTTGCATCCCAACAAGTAAACAGATTTATGAATTAATCAGGAGAATTTGAATACCCACTAGATATTTGAGGAGTTTAAAAAGATACATGAATATATTGTGGCAATATTTTTAAAACATGCCTCCTTGCTGGGGTTGTGGCTCAGTGGTAGAGCGCCTGCCTCGTACATGTGAGGCCCTGGGTTCGATCCTCAGCACCACATAAAAATAAATAAATAAAAACAAATATATCTTGTCCATCTACAACTAAAACCAAACCAAACCAAACCAAACAAAAAAACAACCACAACAAAAAAATGCCTCTTTTCTATGGAATTACAGACAAATATTTATGGATGAAATTTGTTCAGAAAAATATGTATGGGAGTGAGTACACAGATGATAAAAGATTGGCTATGAATTAAGCAATTGTTGGATGATACCTTTACAATCCATATAGTATTTCATCTACTCCTGCATATGTTAGAATTATTTTGTAAAGAAGTTAAATATTTATCTCGTAATGATAGTTCCTGATTGCATTGTAGTCAAAGAATATAGAATGTAACACACACACACACAGACATATGTGCTTACACATGTACATATGGAGAATAGCTCTATATATTCAATTTTGATAAATGTACCATGTGTTCTTGAGAATAGTATGAAATATCTATATGTATCTATCATTTATCCTATCTATCTCTATAGATAAATATCCATTAAATCAAGTATGGTTATCTAAGCTTGTCATGTTTTAAAGATCTTTTTCCCTGTTCAGACTTTCAATAATGAGAAACATGTGTTTTATTTTCATAATATAATAATTTGTTAATTTCTCTCTGTAGTTCGATGACTGTTTTGCATTGTGTAATTTGAAGTTATTCTCTGGGTTAATATTATGTAGGTAATTTTTGTATGTAACTGATTATTTTAAACTTTATACTTTAGATAGTGTGTTAACTTTTTGTCACTATTACCACGATACTGACAAGAACATCTTAGAAACAATCAAGTTTATTTGGGGGCTGAAGGTTTCAGGGGTTCAGTTCATGGGCCTGAACAGCATGGTGGAAGGGCAGAGGAGCACTGCTCAGTTCATGGCAGCCACAAAGGAGAGAGAGAGGAGAGGGACTGAGGGACAGAGGGAGGGAGGGAGAAGGGAGTAAAAGAGGGGGAGAGAAGAAGTTGGGGACAAAACAATTCCCAAGGGCATGCCCCCAGTGACCTACTTCTTGCAGCCACACTCCACCTGCTTACAGTTACAAACTAATCCATTCAAATGAGTAATCCATCAAATTTAATCCTCTGATTAGGGTATAGGCCTCATGATGTGATCATTTCACCTCTGAACATTCCTGCATTGAGCAACATGAACTTTTGAGGGGACACCTCACATCCAAATCAGAATAGATAATATCACTTCTTCCTATTAATGTTTCTTTTAATTTGTTCTAATTAGATACACATGACAGCAGCCTACTAATGTTTATTATATTAAAGACTATCTTTATAATATAAAATAGCTCCTCCAGTTTTAAGTTATTATTTATCTGGTATATCTTTAAATCATTTTTTGTTTTTAAATTTTAGGTATGTCATATATATATATATTCTCATTATATATATATATATATATATATATATTCTCTCTCTATATATATATAATCAGAATATCATATATATCAGAACTTTTATATAATATAATATTTTAGTTTTTAAATGATTTGTGACATGTTTTTCCTTATTTTTATGATTGTTTGCCCCTTTTTTTGGTTTCTATTCCTCTTTTGCTTTCTTTCCTCCTTCCCTCCCTCTCTCCATTCTTTCCATTACTTTATTTCCATTGAGTTCACTTGTATGTTTTCTTTTCTTTAAATTTATTTTTAATTAGGTATATATGATAGCAGAATGCATTTTGATTAATTGTACACAATTGCAACACAACTTTTCTCTGATTGTACATGATATAGTGTCATACCGTATGTGCAGTTATACATGTACCTAGGGTAATGATGTCCATCACATTCCACCATCTTTCCTGCCCCATACCACCTTTCATTCCCTCCCTTCCCCTGCCCACTTACACTCCAAGATTACTACTAACCTGGATTCATTCATTTTGTTCATAATCAAGGGCCTCAGTCAATTTTTTTGATTTCAACTTGAGACAAATGCTTACTTACAACATATTTTGTAGAAATTTGTCAAATTTTTCATTCTTTTAGGCAAATTTTTCCTTGTTTCCAATTTTACACTTAAAAATTTTGGGGGCGTTCATTTAAGCATTTTCATAATAAGAGCTGTTGAACACTTAGACTCCAATTGTATTCAAATCAGAATCAAATTGAAAGACTATAAATAGTATTTTTGAAACAGAAAGCTTGAAGATGAAGTTATAATTGAAAAAAATAGCATAAAATATTAAATAAAGTCAACATTGATAGATTATGGGGGAGGGTAAAAACTTAATATTATGCTTATCCCCAAAGTAAAAGTTACTACTTTTCTCATAGAAAATATTATGGAAATTTCTAAAGAAAAATTACAATTATGAATAATATGAATAGATTTAAAAGGAGATTAAGAACAGGAAAAGCGGGTTTAAATCTCTTATTAGTGAACCAGATATGATGGCAAAAGGGCTGAATGAGAATGATGAATAGTGTGCGGACAGGAGAAACTTAAGCGTTGGTAGCATTTAGGGAGTGGAAGGTCAGAGATGTAATAAATGTGCCAGTAGTAGTGATCTTGATGCTGTTGTTATAACTACTGGGAGTCCAAGGAAGCAATCCTGAAGGCTTGTTTTGATGATATAATAATATTTTATATTATTTCCATGCCATTGATAATAAATTTAAGTTGCTAAGTATCATAACCTGAACCAGCTGTGTTCATAATTGTTTCCTAAGTCCAATGCCTCATATAGCAGTTCCTAATCTTTCGCTTCAAATGTCTGGTTTCAACCACTGCTGTAGTAACCAGCTCTGCATGAGTTCAAAATGATTTAACTTAGGCAGAACTCAACAGTGCCTTACTTTAAAGCCACATCATGTGCCTCTCATTTTCCAACCTGGAACTTCTCTGTTGACATTAAGGTGTGAGTCACTTTGCCTATTACCCACAAATGCACAGTTGGAATTTTAGGGAAGTACTAGGAGAGAAAACCTTTGACCAATGATAGTAAGGAAAGTAGAT